TGACCTGAAAATGCGGAAGTGTGTTAGTCTTGTGGACCACGTGCACAACCTTGATAGTGCTCGGCATGGAATACTTCTCGTGGAGGTAGCTCGGAATCCCCTCTGCTGTGCTGACCAGTCGTCTCGATGCCCGCTGTCTTTCATCCGCATTTTTGGTTGCATCCTCGTCCTTCATGCGGAATTTGTTCTTAAAACTGCAGGTGTATCAAATGTTAGAATAATATTTGATACACATTATTATTCAAGGTTGGAATAAGCTCCCTCAAGGAACAGAGTAGGCACTAGCTTGATTTTCTCCTCATCCTGAGCTGCATCTGCCTCCACTTCTGCAGGACCTTCTTCAGCAAGGATGGGATTCTCCTTAGCTTTTGTAGGCTATGTGGATACGGAGCACCAGATGTCATCCCAAACTTAGCACCGGAGTTCCGAACTGCTGTTCTTTACTTCAACAATTTTCCAAGGCTCCTGTTCATTCAACTCCTGAATGAGCTCATTGGCCAACACGACCGCTGGATCATGTTGTTCGCTCGCACCCATCACAGGTCCCTGCAGGCAAGATACGCTTATCTTTGCAAGGGTTTTAGCCACGCTACATCAGATTAGGTATTTAATTACCATTGCCGTGCCTCTTCTTCTTCCTCCATTTCATCATTCGCTTCCTCATTCTGCTGCTTCTGGTTTTTCTTTTTCCGGTTTTCATCCATGGCCACGCATGCCGACTCAATTTTCTCCAGGATAGACTCTGCCACATTGTCCCTCACAATGCTCAGACCCATCAAGGTGCGAATCTTGTGCGTCTTTGTGCTGTTCTTCCTGCCGCTTTTTCCGTAGCTGGCCAACATTTTCTGCAAAGCGTCTGCACTTGCTTTCAGGATTTGCATGGTCATCATGAGGCCCACGAGCATAGGTTGCCCTTTGGCTGATCTCCGCACGATCACGTTTGAACCCAGCTTATGCGCCAAGGTGCCATCACAAAGGTGCAAGGTATACTGGAAGCATTCCACCTAGCCCGTTGCATGTCACATTACACTATCTCTGTACGAGTACATGCACAGGTATACAACACCTATTTTCAAGGTGCATGTCGAGCTACTTTGTTGAACTCCAGAAGCACCTGCTGTGTCACTGGCCTTCCACAAACAAAGCTGAAGGAGACTCTTTGTGCATTATCTTATAGTGGATGAAAAGCTAGGGTTAGGAGCCACGAGCAACAATCTTAGCATGCAAGCCACCGGGTGGTGTCGAAGTACAAGCACTGGACTTGTTCGTTGTTGCCCAGAGGATCAGACAAGAAAGCCTCATCTTCTGTCACTGCAATTTTCTCTTCCTCTACTTTCCGCGGGGGCAAGGGTCCCTTGAAGAAAATGTTCACTTCCCGCAAAGCCAAGGCCTTGGAAATCTGCAGAATGACTCATGTATGCATCCACTTCACACTGCTTCATCGGTATGAGAACAGTCATACGGGAATCCTCTATAATTGGACGAGTCGCGTACATCACTGCAGGTGTGTTGCCCAAGCACATCATCCATTTGTTGTTTGATCTAATCAGCATGCCTCTTTGCATCAGTCCAGGCACCCAAAAATTGTCTGCCGCCTGATTCAGGTCGTGCTCCTGCCTCAGAAATGACACACATCGAAGTACTAATTCCTTATGAACCCACGAGACAAGAGCCACACGCCTGCGGGCAAGGTGGAGTGCTGCCATAGCATTCAAGGACACTCGGTTATGATGGTACGGCGACGTGCTCCCAAAATCTTTCAGGATGTCATCCATGTTCACATCCTCACCTCAGCGCCATATTACTTCAAACTAAACAGACATGCGGTCTTTCATAATGAAATGCTGATGAAAATTTCTCTTGCCCTGACTAGATGGTCACCGCATCACCACATGCAAGCAAGAACGGGTCCAGAAGAATATGATTGCCACTCTTGCTGCAGGTCTTTGCTACTTTCTTCCTCAAATTACTAGTCTTGCAGCCGAGCAGCTGCCAGACCAGTTGTTGCACTGATAGATACTTTGCTTCAGATTCCGAATTTCGGGTCCTTCCCAGTCGCTGCCTGTGACTTGAACGGATTGGCACTCTCCTTCTTTGTCACAGGCACGATACAGGCTGCGGATTGCCGTCACCTGCAGATATTGTTCAAACTTCCTATATCCGATTTCCCCGAACGGGCCACAGCATCGCCCATGGCATTGAACACGTCCTCAGCATTAGCCGAACATCCCCACCGAGGAAAATAGCTCCGAATCCTGTCCTTCACATCAGGGTCCAACTGCCATTTCCTGCTTTCCAGGGACACCATGAGTTCTCGGTACACTTGGAATCTTGTGTATGGACACCATTCCTGCAGGAGTTTGCTGCCATGG